AAAGGGAAAATAACCCAAAAAAGACATTTATGAAAAAATTTAAAAAAATGATTCTAATTACTAACAATACAAAGTAAATTTCCGAAACCTAAACAAAATTCAAAAAATGAAAGCAGTTTAGCAATGAAAAAAAGAATTTTTAAAAAAAACCTGGTTAGCAGACAAATCCAATGTTTTCACATTCTTGATACGATACAAAAGACAGGCAAAGAAATCCAAAAAACGAAGACGATTTCCCTAAAAAAAAACACACACACACATTACGAAACAAATCAACCTAACAGTAAGAACTTATCCGAAAACCAACTATTTTTTCATGCCGATACATCAGAATGAGGATTACCAATACAGAAATGCTGCTGGTAACTTAAATTTTTCAGATCTGTACGAAATCTTCCTACCGAATGAGTAAAAAAATCGAACCGAGGCACAAAAACCGTACTGATAATCTCAAATTGTACTGTCGCAAAGCTAACCTCAAATTTTTTTCACTCGCAAGCGAATTTCTAAGGTCAGCTCGAAGACAAGGGGCAATTCAACTACTTACAACGACCTACCAGATTTGGCTTCTTATTCATAAACCGTCATACGCAAAATGGCCTTCAATTATGAACAGAAAAACCGATTCAAAAACGACTAGAAGTATCTGAGTTTACATGAATGACTTGGTATTCACGTCCCTGATCCCTTACTGACAAGTTAACTTTGGGCCGCTGTTCCGGCCCCTTCTTGTTTCCTTCACAGGGCCTTTTAGGCCCGTACTGTCCTTTGTTTTAAAGTCCCAATTATTAAAACTGTGCCTATCCACAATCCTAAACTCTAAAATATTAAAAAATCTACATTTTTATCTATTCTTCTAAGCTTTAAACACTGAAAAAACAACCAACCTTCATACTCAGGGCAGTCACATCACCGTAATGTTTATCGATCAGCTCAACAACCGTCATCATAATGCTGTTACGACTCAGTGCCAAATGCAAACTTCTCGAACGAAACACTGAAACATTGCCCCATTATAATACATAAGTTAATGTCAAAACTGCCAGTAAGATCATGCATATTTCCAAAATTTCATGCAATAATACGACTGCTAACAGCAAAAAAAGTCCAGTGCCTCACAGTCTCGTTGATACTCTTAGTTGTTTCGATGCTTCATTTTGTGCTCGAAGTAGAAATGGGGAGAAGGGCAGATCCTATAATCCTATAAGCCGACTGTTTTCACTTGCTTCACAAATCTTATTTGTCGAAATGAAGTCCTAGATCGCTGGATAAACGAAGAAAGTGGATAAAACAGGCAAATTAAGAGGATGCATGGGACGCACATTATTCGTCTGAATAAATCCTCGCCTCCTCCTTCTACCCTCCACCAAAAGCCGCTATTAGTTTCGCTAAGATAAAATTTTGCGAAGGAAGTTAAAAACCCTTTTTCAAGCAAAAATAAGTAATATGTGCTGGCATTAGTCCTATTAACTCAATGAAGCCAAGAGTTGAAGAAAACGAATGTCTGCAGCACCTAGCACGAAACTACTGC